CCTGTTACCCACTTGCTGCGTTTTGATCTAACCTTCCCTAGTATTCATACATGCCACCTTTAAGATGAACTGTTTATGCAAAAGTAGTCTGGGTTTGGCATCGGACTTACTATATTTCTTATCATCTTGTTATTGACATGTGCTACTTCCCCAAACGATGTGTCACTATGTTCACTATATGTTGGATTCCAATGCCTTGCAATTTTTAACTGTTTTTAACTCTATCCAGACCGCTGGTCTATGCATAAATAACAAATGCATCGATGAGCGCAGTCCCGCGTAAAAGTCTCCTGAATTCTGTATTTTAATCACACGAATGGATAGTAATGGCATTATGCACGTCCGTCCTGCGTTGTGAGAGGACGGTAGATATTTTAATTAGATTGCAGCTAATCTGACATCGAGTTTCAAAGATGAGTAGGCACATCACTCTGTGTATACTTACATCACTCGGCCAACGCAGCTCAAACTTATAAAGGGCCAAATGGATGTATTTACCCTAGCTTTTTCCATCTTTTAACATGAGTTCAACTGCTCTCAACGTAAGGATTTTAACAATCACAAAGTAATTGCCCTGTACCGCTCTAGTCAATTATGCTATTATTCATAAACGATAGCGTATTACTCGTCGGTTTTTGGTTGACGGCTTAAAGTGTTCCTTCCTGTTTCATGCACCTGCCCTCAGCATGGTTCCCTCGACATACATGCAGCCAAACAGCCTAGAATGCCAGTGAACTAAATGAAAATGAAAAATAAGGCACTAAAGAGGGTTTACAGTAAAAGTGCCCTCATTGAGTCCTAACCAATGGCATCTGTGAGCGTAATGTACATGTAAACGCGATTCGTTCTTTTGTGAGCACGGTTTATCGGTTGCACAAATATACGTCTTCATTTTTACGAAGTGCATTGGCTAAACTACATCACTTGTGGCGCCGGTACGACGTCATTTTCACCTTGAAGGATAGTATCTACAACGCAGCTGTTAGCTAAAGCCTCCTGTACGGCTGTGAAACCTGGCGTATCAGACCAACAGAAACAGACTAGCTGTGTTCAACCACCGGTGCCTTCGCAGTTTAATTCGCATCCGGCGGGAACATCGCGTGAGCAATGTGCGCGTTCAATGTCTTATTTATGGCGAAAGTGAACCACTCAGCACCGTTAATTCATGTATCGGACTCCGATGGCTGGGTCATGTGTTACGTGGGCCAATACACCAACTCCAGCGGTCCATGTTGATTGCGCGCACGGGGTATGAATGGAAGAAAAGTAGGGGAGGCCAGTAAACGAGTGAGCAAGAGAAATAAATTACCTTCGAAATTGGTTTCGGTTGGCATCTCTATACTACAGGGACAAAGTCGGGAGGACGAAAGACACGCTTGGTTGAAGACACTTGTTGGCATGGTCAGAAGCCGACCTCAATGGTGTCTGTGTTGCGAGTTTCTTTTCTCTCTCCCTCTAACCACGATACCAGCCTCGGCGCATTATACAAAGCAAAACATAAACGTAGTTTTGACCTGCTTCTTTCTATGCTATTTTTGCTGCTATATAATTCAATTGCACTGTGCCACAATAGCTGGGGTGATTCTCACCTCTAGCTAACGTGAAGAATGGTAATAATCACCATTACAACTTTGCTGACGCGGCATGAATGGTTGAAAGCGTGGATGGATATGATCTACTTTGATTTCAGTAAAGCGTTCGACAAAGTGAACCATGAGGTCCTCCTCAATAAGCCGAGGATGTGCGATGTCGGTGGCTCACTGCGCAAATGGATCTGTGACTTCCTTATTGGACGGAAATGGTGAGTACAGGTGGATGACCACCTAACGGACTAGTATATATCGACCAGTGGGGTACTCCAAAGTACAGCACTGGGGCACATTTTATTCCTGATCCACATCAATGAAGTGCTTCATCTTTTTCGGTTGCGTTGTACCATGTTTGAAGAGTTGGAGAATAAATGAAGCTCCTTAAGACTAAGGTACTTCAGCATGACTTTAACCGCCTGTCCAGGTGGTCAGCAGATACCGATCTGTTCGTCAATGCAGTCAAAACGTTATATGTGAGCCTGGGGAGGGTGTTGATGGGCGTACACTCTGGCAGGCTAACCGCTAAATCCCACACCTTCCTTGAAGGATCTCAGCGTACTCCCAAGCTGACATTCGAAATCCGTAAACAACATGAACAAGGCATGTGGAAACGGACTGGGCATGCATTGGGCGCTCAAACGCAGCTTCTATATTCGGTGTGAAGAGATGGCCACGCGCTTTTTCTCTTCCATCATAAGACCGATGCTCGAGTATGGATCACGCGCCTATTGTCCAATCACCTGTGACGAGGAGCAAAAACTGGAACAAGTTCAGTATGTATCTACCAGGATCCTACCCAGTTTTCGGAGTATGTTGTACGAAGACCAATACAGACGATTAGGGCGGTACACCCTGTCGTATCGTCGGTTTAGAGTTAATCTCATAATGACGTGCCGGATATTAAATCTCAGCCACCATCCATGTTGAGGCCGCTGCTTCACGTGCGCGCACCAAGCAACACTCGCGGGCACCGATACCGGACCTCAAGCGGATAGCTCACTATGCTTCGAGCAGTGAACTACTGGAACGGCTTGCACAAGAAAAAAGTCGAGGCGAAATTGGTGTCAGAATCCAAGAAATTCCTAGACATCCAGTCTGCGGATTCCAGATTCAGGGAGCGCATCGCAACAAAAAAGCATTTGGCGCAGCAGTGATATGCAGCAAACGCGCATGAATCAGTGACGTGTTTCCGAGCCCCCTATTTTCAGTGTTCAGTAGTTTGCAATCATTAAATGAATGTAAAGGATTTACGAATGCCGCGATTACAAATCCATGTCAAGCTAATCTCTAAACTTTGGTTCCATCTTTCGCTCAATAACACGAGTATCATTCCGACTTAGGTTGTTTACGATAAACCGCATGTAGAATGCTCTTCAATTATAAATGACCCCCCACTAGCGTCTACACCATTGTTCTGCACCGATAAAGATTATCTACCCCATTCTCCGCACCGGAATGTATATGACCAAAATGCTAAATACTGCAAACGGACTGATGGTATTATGCTTCAGTACTTCGCTCGTCCTTGCTTTGTTCGTACAACTAACCGAGCCTACGATGTCATTTGTCTCCCGAACGTTGCGCATGTGGTTACATCACTTGGTACATCGGTCATCCTAAAGCCTGGCTTGTTTGCTCTCTGACCAAAGCGCTTGCCACTGTAGCTGATTTGTACTGAAAGCGTTATTGTTGTGGTGCGTATTCTTAATGCTTACTTAGTTGTTTATATATAGTATCTCCTTTGTTGCTGATTTGATTCCGGTGGAAACGCGATACTCGATCCTTCCTAGCGACTTTTATCGCATGCAAGGATGCCCAGATGAGTAACTGTGAAGTTTGCCAAATTACATTTGGCAATAGGCTTCCTGGTGCCACTTTGAAGTGGCTGTTGAACCCGATTCGACTTCAGTGGCGTGGTCTTTTGCTCCACATGTTATAAAGCCGAGTGCCTGAATGTGTGTCGTTTGTCAATACTGCAACTAGTTGGGTGAAAAGCCGGGATAGTCAGTCAAGGACAGTACATCGGTACAGAGTAAGAACGCTTCGCTGCCGCGCAACCGCCAACAGTCGTGTTTGGGCTAAGGATACTGTGAGGGCCGCCTGGTCCCCTACGCAGGCATGAACGCGCACCCTTGGATAACAAGGCAGGCTTGTGAACCTTTAGGATACTGGCCGGCCAGTCAAGGACATGGTAGATGAGTATGAAGAAAGTTATCGTAAAGTCGAGTCGGAATTGTGCTTGCCATTCAACTGGATGGGGACCTGGAGGTATGCCATATCAGTGGTTGGCTGCCTCATCGGACAGAGCGCGGTTCAGGTGCGACTGGTGGACTTGCATCCATTCCATATAGAAATTTTACCTCCACCCTACTCCTCTCAAATGACCACCGCTATACTTTAATATTATTGTTATCATCATCATTATTATTATTTGACAATGTGTGCTATGGGAACTTGACCCACCGCACGTCGATGCACGGATCACGTTTGGTCAACTGAAGTAAAGTGAACAGCATTGCCCTAGATGTCAGCGCCACTTCAACCCGATTGTTTGGAGCTCCAACAGATTACAGATGACCCACCCAGTAAGTGGTGTAATGTACCCATCATACTGCTCTTGTGTGAGCCATTCACAGCCGTTAGGCAGGAGCACGAGCAAAACAAATACAGCCAAGGTTGCAGACCAGGTTATTGGATAAGCGATCAAGTCAATCGCAAGTAAGTCGACATTTGCCCACTAGTACCCAGATAAAACCAGTTGAACGGAAGTAATGTGGATAGCAGAAGAAGACAAGCAGCTGGTAACCAGCTGCGACGGTCTGCTGACGTAACACACGGCTTAGGTCACTGACACGTTAGAAGAAAATCATGGATTCGAAACTAATAGGACTTGGAGAAGGTGCGTACTACTGAGGAGTCGCAATGAGACAAAGCAGCTGTTCATCGCCTTCCCGGTTATATGTGGTGTCTGTCTAGGAAGAATCTCCTCAAAATATCTAAGGTATTATCCAACTGCTAATTCTGTCAGATGCGCCTGGAACACCCAGTTACAGACAGCAACTAGCGTGATAAACGAGAAAGCAGTTGGTTGTAAACTTCTACGAGATACAGAGTTTGTGTGTTGATGAGACAAAAATAGCAGAAATGCAGAGACACTAGGAGGCTAATCTGGCGAACGTTAATACATTCTCTATAAAACTGTCAATAGTCTGAAACCTAACCGAGGGTCAGTGTTGTGCGAGTTTAGAGTAATAACGTAGAAACTAACTAAACTTTTGCCGTTCTTGGTGATGCAGATAATGCGAACTGGAGCGGCAGGGTAGTAGATGGATTAAGAGTTCTGGTACATTAAGAAAATTACTCCATATACGAGTAGCAGTTTGCGAAGCATCGAGTATACACGGGAATTACCAGTCGGGGAACAATCCCATTGCATGACCCGAGTGATCTGAGGTACCAGAGTTGAGCTAGCAGTTATCCGGGTACAATCAGTATGGGGGCGTCGGGGAGTGTCACGATGCCTCTTGTATTGTGAGTCTACTGTGCCAGGGAATAGAGAGGGGTACTCCAGGTATCGATCCCGGAACAAACTTCTTGGATGAGCAGAAGACGCGTCATCGGCACCCTGTTCCGCGGGCAACCCGACAGCCGAGGAGTCGCTGATTTCCGAAATGCTGGAAACTGTGTCCCTGGACTCTGTTCTCATATCGGGTTGCAACACATGCGATAAGTAACCGGTTCTCGCCGATCGACAGGGTCTAACCCAAGCGTGTGGCTTGGAAAACAGCTTCGTTGATTGTCCTTTTCGGTTAGAATAGTTGGATTGTGGAGCAAACGTCTGGAAAGTCAGATCAAATGAGCTCTTCAAAGACTGGAGCAAATAGGACAGGTTACGAAGTTACAATATAGCAAGAAGAAACCCGAGGATTCAGTGACACCACGGTTCTACGGTCTACCCAAAGTACACAAAAATAGAGCACCGCTTCGCCCTATTGTGTCATTACCTGTGGCACCGAATTACAAGCTGTCTAAGGAACTCAGAAAACGGCTGAAATACCTAATATCCCAGACTCACGGCAGAACGATTCCTTGGAAAATGCAAGGGAATAACAAAAGAAGGAGACATGATAATGATATCATTTGACGTTACAGCTTTGTTCTAATCGATTGACCCGAAGCTAGCAAGGGAAACAATGATGACCTTAACTGTCGAACAACCAACTCGTGGGGCCAACTGGGTGGTTCGCGGTATTCCCGTTCCAGCGAATAGTTCGGCGGCAGTGTTAGAGGACGTGTTGGGTTTCCTCCTGGCAAGCGTTCTTCGTACAAATGTCCACTTAAGAACAATGCGACGTGGCGGATGTGACTCGCCACTAAATAAGGTCATTGCCCCTTGCTTCTCTCCGGTGGAACACTGTACTCCAGCAGCTTGCTGCAGAATTTGTGGGGAGAGTTGGGCTCCTGTTTGGTATCTGGTCAAATGAAAAGCAAGAAATCGGTCACCTGCTCCCAATGGGCGCGATTTCTTGAATTCGCTCCGCTGCGTTGTGAATATATGGTTTAGCCAAAGGCTCGGAGTGGAGTCCCCTAAGACAACCCTACTTCCGCCTAGGCAACCACGTAGTATCTCGCCAACTGACAAACCACGGAAACGCACATACGTTCTAGCTCTCACGATGTTCTATACACCTGCTACCACACCAGCTTCACAATCACACGCCACCCATCTTCTCTTTGTGTCATTCACCCATTACATTACCTAATTCCTCGGCGGTGAACAACTCTGTCGCCATCGGTGAATTCATCCCACCAATATCCGCCAACTCAGCCACACAATGATTCACAGGGGATCACCAGCTACATGATCTTCCATCATCACTTCTGCAACCTGGAACCCGGTTCGAGCTAACACAAAACGTGTGCACACTACTGCAGATTGGACAACAAACGTTACTGGCACGTACCTTGGAAACCCTTGCAATTGATGTCTGCTGCCTGACTGAGACTCGGCTTTAGAACTCCAACACAGTCTACCAGCTACCGTCACCAATCCACTTCCTCACCCGTTTCCATCTCTGCATTTCTGGTGACGCTGAGTCTGCCGCCCCCTGGGCAAGCTGGTGTTGGGATTATGTTGTGCTAGAGGCTGTTCTCCTTGAGCGGATTCAAAGTAACAGTCGTCTCTGTGCTAGTAGGCTCCGTGGCTCCTGCAACGTTAGCAGACATTGAGCCGATAAGCGTGCGCTTTTTGTGATCTCCGCCTATAACCCTAGTGACGGCAGCTGGGATGCAGTCAAGGACAAGTTCCATCAAAGCCTTCATGACCTGCTAATAAGGGCATCTAAAAAGGAGAACATCGTTATGGTAGGTTCCAACTCACACTTCGGTCGGCTGCTTCCATCGGAACGCATTCTCGGGGGACCACATGGACATGACGATGTTCACTCTGACAAAGGAGAAAGACTGCTCAGTCTGTGTGGCGATCACCAATTTTTCCTCTCCAGTACGAGCTTTCGTCACCCCAGGCGCCACCTAGCGTACTCTACTATCAACGTGGTGTTGGTCGTAAAGTGACCACATAGATTTAGGCCGAAGGTGACGAGGAAGCATACGGGAATGCCGATCATACTGGTCGACTTATGTGGTAACCGATCATGCATTGGTGTGCGCGACAGTTTGCATGAGCGTCAGTGGCTCACAAGAGCCAAAAAACTCGACTGAACATTTGCAAATTGGTAGATCCTGCAGTACATTCAAATTAACAACAGAGGCCACATGAAGACCTTGCTCCCTCATCTTCTCTGTATGCTGACCGGCACTGGTTAGGTTTGCAAAATGCCATACTGTCCGCAGGTTTGTCCAGTTGCGGTCGCATCCGCTGCACAACTAAAAGTTAGACCTCGGCAAGTTCTTCGGAAGTTCTAGGTCGTCGACGCGCCGGGTCCGCCGGCGTGGAACACAACAAAATCCGTCGGTCCATTATTCTACACTTGAAATCAAGTCTTCGCCCTGACCGTGAATACTGGTGGTCTAGGCGTGCTGCTGAGATGGAAGCTACTGCATCGGTTGGAAAATGATGCAGTTTGTTTCCCTTCATCAAGGTCACGGTTGCCATTCACACGCAATTTGTCAGACGATCTGCGAGTTAGACGGTACAAAATTCCCAACCTGCAGAAGCGATTGAAGCGCTGGACAGAGCACTTTGCTCTTCCATTTAACTACCCAGCACAACCCTTTGTGACACCCCATCTTCATCTGACGGTACTTGGCCTGTACCTACTGACCCCCCTACCGAAGTAAAGATCCGTAGCGTGATCCTGTTTAAAACGGCATGAAGCCCACGGCCGTGACAACCTTCCTCCAAGTCTTTTCAAAGATAGCGGGGATGTATTGGTCAAGGAATTGCTTTTCACAGAGGTTTGAACTGATGAGAAAGTCCCCAACAAATGGGAAGATTCAATCGTTGTCCCGCCTCACAAGAAACGCCCAAGCAAAGATTGCGCTAATTACCGCGGAATCTGCTGATCACTATTGCTTCTAAGACTTTAGTGCCCATTTTACTTCGCAGGCTTTCGTCCGCCAGTTGCCCCGAGAAGAACAACCCGGTTTTCGACCAGAACAAAGTTGCATTGATCGAATCTTCGCGGTTCGAAAATGCTTGAGCTTAGCGACGTCCACCGTCGAGCAACAAGCGTAGAGTTCTTGGACATCCGCGCGCATTCGATTCAGTAGACAGATTTGCTTCGTGAAAGTGTCTACTAAGGAAGGGTGCGCCCGGCAAGTTTGCCGCCATTCTGAGGGAACTGTACATTCACTCGTCAGGCAAAATTACGGTTTACGGCAGATTTTCCTCGTCGTTTGCTGCCAGCAGAGACGTTCGCCAAAGTTGCCATATTTCACCATTCCTCGTCAATTTTGTCATCGAAGATGTGCAACGAACGCTAAAAGTCCAGAACTGCGGAGTTGAGCTTCTCCCTGGCGCCAGTATCGCGGACTTGGACAACGCCGATGACATCGATTTCCTGAGTGACAATCCGCAAACCGTCCAAAACACCTTGAACCGCTTAGCGATTGAGGCATCCAATTATGGCATGTATTTCATCCGAGTCATATATAAGATGCTAATTCAGGATAGGTAGGGGTCTGCGGACGCGCCCAAGATTGCTGGTGACAGTAAGGATTGCTTCACTTATCTAGGAAGTCGTGTCACGGCTGGTGGCAGTGCTGGAGATGAAGTTTCACAGCGCATTGCAAACACTCCCTTGTTTTCTTCAAACTAAGACACCTATGGAGTCGTGGTGATGTCAGCCGCAGGCTCAAGCGCAAGCTGCACAATGCCTCAGTCCGTACGGTTCAGTTGTACGGCTGTAAGTCCTGGCCTGTTCGCTCGGAAGACATGAGACGACTGTAAGTTTTTGACAACCGCTGTGTGCAGAGGGTAGCTCGTGTGTAATGGCAGCATCACATAAGCAATACGGAGGTACTTGAACGAGTTCTTCGAGTGAACAGTCCAAGCTTTCAAAACGCTATTCTCCGACACCGCATGCGTGGGCTCGGCCAACACTGCAAATGCCAGCCTATAACCTTCCATGGAGAGCGTTATTTGCGCTTCCCGGAAGTGATCGGAAAAAGTGCCGCGGTGGACAACCAAGGAAGTGAAAAATGAGCAAGAAGAAAACAGCCTCAAGCTTAGCATCAGTGGGATCATTCCGTCTCCCAGGTTGGAATTCCAGTGGTTGCAATTGATACACGTAATGGCACGTAACAGACATTTGTGGCGCCAGTGTTGTTGTGCACGTATATCCAGAATATAAAGAACTGAAAACGGCGTGTGTGAAATCCTAAAAAGGCCGGTCCTTTTTCTTGTTTTCGTTCGCAAGCTTATTGCCTTCCAATTTTGCCATGGTTCTAATGACACGGTGTCGGCATACAGGTTTATGAATATATACATACATATATATATATATATATATATATATATATATATATATATATATATGACGGGAGAACCTATAGTGCGCTGAGGCTTGAGGTGGCTAAACAGAAAGAGAGGAAATAACAGTATGCTGACTAGACTATCACATCGGAGCATAGAAAAACCCCACAGATGCGTGAACAAGACAATCCCACGATGTGTTCAGAGTACAAGAAAAGTTAAACGTGTTTCGAAGCTGTCTAGATGGTGATAGCTATGGTAACTTAACCATACAATGTTGTGAAGAGACGAAGGATTCAGAACACGGGCATAACACTAAATGAAGAAACGCAGTGTAAGGACTACAAAGTGATTCCCACTGCGATCTAAAAAAAAAACAAGTCATACACACACAAGCTCCGAGTGTGAAATACGTGGGCAAAAAAGACAGAATTATAAATGCGTTACATATTGTTTACAGCGTCAGTAACATATCATCTATTAATGCAGCAAGTGAGATACAATGGCAAGAAATTGTTCCACCCGTACATTACTATCCGTAACAATAATGACGAAATAGCGCGTGAAACAAGCAGCTGGTGGAGTGGTCATACTACTCCTTAACGGTAACCCTGCAGTAGACGCAGGACGAACTGCAAACATTTGTGTTGAGTAGGTGGACGGTAGCGAGTGTCATTCTTGGGATAGCGAGCACTATTCATACTCACAAACAAACTGTATGAGCTTGAAGATGATGGCTAGTTTGATGGAACTTCAAGTTTTCAGTAACGCGCAGTAAAAACCGAGAAATACTTAGAAGCAAAGTCAAGTACGCTTAAAGTAGTACCATAAAGGAATGAGTTCGTGCTGCAAACATCATTGAATTCAGACTCAGGAAACGAGGTAGGTGTACAAAGTAAACA